CAACATGTACAAACATTTGGAGTTTTTTCACAGAAAGACCTTCAATCAGCACCGTTGAATAATAGACAAAATTAATCTGGAATATTGGGTGGTATGCATAAAATATAAGCAAATAGTTTATCTTAAAAATTCAGACCTTTTACTCGATTTGTTCAAATATATTTAAGTGAAAGGTATGGAATTTTAAGAAAAAGCAATAGATTAGTTTATATGCATACGGCCCATTGCTTCTAAAAACAGATAGGAAATTAAATTCAAATATAAATCAGTGTATTTAATAGGTAAATTACAATTGAGTCAAAAGTTATTATTGGTTACAATTTTATGCAAACTTTCGGTTTCAGACGTTCCAGTACTGCTACTTTAGGTGGCATCTGGAAAATAGTTGTCATCTTCCGTATCGTCAGAATTTATCGGCTTCTGGAAGCTCAGTATGGTTGGAGAAATTTCTATTTTAGTTTTTAGAGGTAGCTCACGAAACAAGCTTATAAAAGGATCTGACGTAATAAGCATCATATTGAGCAAATCTGTGTTTGTATTAACTCGGGAAGATTTTCGCATGTGGAATGTTCTAAAACGTCTACAGTATTTATTTCTGGCTTCTTGCGGCTACTGTTCCAAGGAGAGAGGAAATTGGCCAATTTTTTTGATCTCGGTCCCAACCCAAAATCGACAGTTGTGCCAAAGAAGAGGAAAAAAATTGCCTTCTCATTTTTAATGATTTTTTTTTTTTTTATGTTACATAACAACCCACAATTCACTCAAGGACGACTTACAAACCTCACACAAATTCCAATCACACAATCATTAGGATGCGCTATAATTAATAGTAGTTCTTTACGATTCCCTCATTGTTTATGCAGAATATGAAATGCTAATTTGCTAAATTTTTTCTAAGTGGCTTCACGCTATAAATAAATAATCCCATATGTACTTTGTGTAATAACAAATTTACAGTTTAAGCACTCGACCACTGTTTTTACGAATGCTAAAAACTGATTGAGATTTAAACACTGCGAAAAAAATAATAGTAAAAAAAATATAAAGCGAATGAATGAATCTGATCGAATGCAATGAGTTTTTTTACATGTTATGCCACTTTGTGCATTTGTATGTATGTATGTATGTGAGTGTGTGCATGCTTTTACATACAGACATGAATGTATCAGTGGCAAAAATTGGGTGTGTTTTTGTGTGATTTTTTTTTTATTTAATATGCGATGTTGACTTCATTTTTTGTGGGAAATAACAACACTTTTTATTTAGCTTGAATTTGGAGTTGTTAGGTTTTGCCGCTATTTTTGCCGCGTTTTTATTGCTTTGTTATTTTTTCATGCGCAAAATTCTTCGTTTTTCTTTGAAAATCAGCTTGTTTATTGTTTACATTTTTATGCAATTGGTGCAATGATACCACAAATCGAAGGTGTATAGTAGCTGCAGCTAATGGTTATAGAGGGGGAGAGTGATGGTATTTATTTGTATTGAAGTAGGTATTGGTCAGCCAGCTGGCGTTCATCAGTGAGGTGAGTTAATATGTACATAAATAGCAATATATGTACAGATGTACATATGTATGTATTTATATTAGTGTATGTATCTACCATACATTCATTGGATGTGGCTTACAGGGCAATTCTGGTAACTGTATGGCAAAAGTCTTTGGAAAGGCAACTATCTTGAAAATCTTTTCTGCCTCTCGAAAGGCTACTTGAAAGATCTGCTAATGAGAAGCTCTTAGTCGTAATCAGTTTGTCTTTTTGCAAAAGTTTCTTGAAAATTTCATTAAAAAGAAAAAAAAATATATCCTTGTTTCTAAAGCAATAAAAATTAAACTAATTAATTGTTGAACAAAAATTTTAATTTAAAACACAAATAAATTAAAAACGAAGAAGTAAATGTATTAAAACAAAATAAATGAAAACAAAAACGAATTATTCCTTTTTTAAACAATATTAACCAAAAGATAGAAGATAATTAAAGTAAAAAACAAAAAATTGTAATTAAAAAAAAAAAAAATAATAAAAGTTAAAAGAAAATCAAATAAAAATGAATTAAGTTAATATGTAAAATAGGTGGGTAAAAATTAAAATAAATAAAAAATAATATTTGCTCTTCTTTTCAAAACAATAAAAAATAAAAATTAAAAGACAAATAAATATAAAAAATAATTAAATAAAAAATGAAAAAATAAATCAAATATATTTCTATAAATTTAATGAAAATGCAAAATATGTAGGTATATTGTTCAATAAAAAACGAAAAATTAAAAGACAATTAAATCAAAAAGTGAGGAATAAGTAAATTAGGAAGGAAAAATAAATATATTGTTCTTTTTAAAACGAAAAATCTAAATATAAAAAAATATAGAATTTACTGCTACTTCTTCTTCCATGTTGTGCAAAAATCTCCTAACTGTATAGATTGCCAGTATCTTACTAGAACAAAATATGCATTAAGTTTTACTATGCGAGTGTATCGACTGCTGAGTGGAAGATCAACAAATCTAAGCAGCCAGTTCAAAAACGATCTTTCTCAAAAAACTTTTCAAGAAAGCTCTATTTCAGAATTTGGTTGAAGAACGCCCTATTCCAGATTTCGTTTAAAAAACGCCCTATCTCAGCACATTTTCAAATGAGATAGGGCGATTTTTAACCGAATATTAGATTTCTTTAACCAAATTCTGAGATAGGGTGTTTTTCAATAAAATTCTGAAATAGATTGTTCTTGAAAATTTGTTTTGAGATAGCGCGTTTATCGAAATGGCTGCCGAGATGGGTCCATCTTCCACTCAGCAGTCGATATGCAAATTCAAAACTTCAAAGTAGTTTTTCTCGAGTTTTGCTTTTGAGATTTATGACGCCATTATTCTCTTTTTAAAACAATAAAAACTGAAAAAAAAGGAAGGCCAATTAAAAAAAATAAAACAAATAAAATTAAAAAAATAAAAATAAAAAAATCTAAACATTAAATGAGATTAAAAAATAAAATAATTTTCTTTTTAAAACAATAAAACCAAAAAATGTAAAAAAAACTTAAAGGAAGTTTGATTAAAAGAATAAATTATTAAATAAATTCTCCGAGTCTGAATGCAATAAAAACAAAAAATCTTTTGAAAACAGAAAAAAATAGAAAAAATGCCGCTGCCCGACAATTCGAATCTCGAATCTCTCGGAGGGTACGCCAGTGCTTTATTCAGCCATTGCGACTGTTGTACACAAACTGCGACTGTTGGAACAAATATTCACATTAGGGTGGTCCTTAAATGAAGGAAGCAAATTTTTACATCAGATTTCGTAAGCCTCAACCCCTACGTCGATGATATAGTCGAAGATATCACATATAAATTTTGGTCCCGAGGGGGGTTCCTCTATGGAGACTAAAAAATTAAAATAATTTTTTTTATCTAATAGCCAAAATCGATACTATCATAGTCGAAAATATCACATATAAATTTTGATCCCGATTGAAGTCGGGAAGTCGGTTAAGGCGTGTCGCGCAGGGGTAAAGTTCAGATTACCCTATAAAGATTTTGGAAGTAACGATTTTGAGTATTAAATGAATTGTTTGTTTTTTTTTTTGAGTCCATAGAGGCATCTGGCCTTTGACCTCTTGGCGACACGCCTTAATCTTCGACTATGGTAGTATTGATTTTGAGTATTAGATGAAAAAAATAATAATTTAATTTTTTGAGTCTCTCTAGAGCAATCTGTGTTTTGCACTCTGTGTGACACGCCGTAACCGTATCCAATCGTAACCAAAATGTACATATATGTGATATCTGTGACCGTAGTAAGTATTACCAATTAAGTATGTGAGAATGACAAAAATCGGTAATGTGATTTTAATTTTATTTAATTAAAAGCATATATATGTCTTTTTTAAACAATAAAAGTTAAAAATTTAATGAAAATTAAATTGAAAAGGGAAAAAATAAAAAAAGGAAATAAATTCCGGGCTGCCGAAAGATTCTCCACCTTGGACCTCTCGAATGGCATGCCAATGCTTTGCTTACTCGGCCATTGCAACTGAGATTTTACCATTACAAGTTGGCAAGGAAGCTTTTTTATGTAAGACTTTCGGTCAGAATAACCAATATATTTCGAGCTATCGTTGCCTACTCTCTTTCAATTGTCTAACAAAAGACTTGCAACTAACTTAGTTAGAATTGCCCCGTAACTGATACCGTGGCGGCTTGCTGTTTGATTAAGAGTCATACTGACAGGTAACTTGCATGCATACCTACATACATACGTACCTGTTTAGAGTTCTTTTGAACCTTGCCACGCACGCACACACACACAACACGCCACACTTACTTACCACCCATTAGTGGAGCATGCAATTGGCAGTCAAGCATTTTGCTAAACTTAAATTTGGTCAGTGAGATATTTTCGTATCGATTGTGGAGTTAACTGCACAGTTTGTGGAGTAGAGCAACGCAGCAAAGCTATTTTCAGGTTCGAAAAAGCGCTGTTTGTTGCGGTGTTGATGGTTGGTGGCCACTGCCGGCAGTGAAAGGTTATTTTGGATTTTGTGTGTGCGCAGGTAAATATGTAGTTGGGTGGGTGAGCAGGGCGGTGGCTGACAGGCGTGTAAATACACCAACACCAAGTATATATGTATTACTCTAGTTCTGTTGCACTTATGCAGCGCTACTCATAATATTGTTATTACGATTGCGGCTGTTGTTGTTATTTTTGCACCGGCTTGTAAGCATTTTAGAAGCATTTTTTTTGTTTTGAGTTGGTTACAAGACAAGTTTCGTTACAATTTGAAGTTTAGCCGCCGCCCGGCATTCTTCCTGCTCTGCATTGGCACTACTGCTATATGTTTATTGTTACTTCTTTAATATACGTATTTTGTTTTTGCACATTTTGTATTGAGCTTTTTTGTTAGCGCAATTATTTGGTGGCGCTGCATATGAAGTTCAGCAAATTTTTTAGTATAAAAGTTAGCTTAAATTCGTATTCGAAATCAGATTTAAGTCAGCATTTCTTGAGTGTGCAACAGCAGTAAACTGATAAGTCTTTTTCCTTACTTCTACTTGTACAACCCTTCTCCAGCAAACATGAAGGTAATTCGGGTAGTTGGAGTGTTCGAAAAGTGCTAGATTTTTGTGAAAATATAAATAACTATGTAGGCAGCAAACACACCTGCAATTAAAGAATAAAAAAATTATAAAAAATGTTCCTTAAAAAATGTTAAGTTGAAACAATACTAACAGTGATCTCAAAAGTCTGATTAAAATATCTACTACCCAATGAAAATATGAGGTCATAGTAAACTTATGTACTTGTAAACTTATGTACTTACATTACATTTTACCATTACAAAAAAGATACTTAAAATTGGAATTTAGTGATCTATAAAGCACGAATGGCATTTGGAAATAGGGTCGTTTTCCAAGTAGAACAAGTAAGGAAGTCTAAGTTCGGGCGGAGCCGAACATTAAATACCCGGCGCAAGTATTAAATATATGTTTTCCACCTTTCCGAAAGCTACCGCTACATGATAAGCCGGGGTGTATACATTTTAAGTAAATTAGCGTCCTTAAATTTCGAAATATTGAAATTTCAAGCATTTTTGAAATTTACCGTTATATGAAAAGCGGCCTCAATTTTAGTCCGATTTCAACAATTTCCAACGGTTTGCTTTTATGTGGCAAGCACAATAACCATACCGAGCTTGGTACAAATTGCTAGAACGGCTAGCGAGATACATATCACAAGTGGGCGGTGCTACGCCCATTTTCCAAAATTTTGTCATAAACGTATTTCTTGGTAAAGAATTGTTGCAATCATCAATTTTGAATAAATTAGCTTCAATATTTACTGATTTATCGAAGATTTTGTATTTCTCGAAATTACCGTTATATGGGATGTGGGCGTGGTTATTGTCCGATTTTAGAAATTTTCGGCCATTTGTTATGTTGTACCAGGACCAACAACTGTGCCAAGTTTGGAAGAAATTGGTGTAGCGGTTACCAAGATATACACATGTAACCATAAGTGGGCGTGGCTACGCCCATTTACCAAAATTTTGTAATATTCTTATTTTTCGTCTAAAACTTATTATAAATATCAATTTTGAGTGAATAATCTCCAGTAGTTACTAAAATATCGCAGTTTTCGTATTTCTGAAAATTACCGTTATATGGGAAGTAGGCGTGGTTATTGAGCGATTTTAAAAATTTTCGGCCATTTGGTATGTTATGCGAAGGCCAACAACTGTGCCAAGTTTGGAAGAAATTGGTGCAGCGGTTACCAAGATATACACATGTAACCATAAGTGGGCGTGGCTACGCCCATTTTCCAAAAATTTACAATATTCTTATTTTTCGTCTAAAAATTATTGTAAATATCAATTTTGAGTGAATTATCTTCAGTAGTTACTAAAATATCGCAGTTTTCGTATTTCTGGAAATTACCGTTATATGGGAAGTGGGCGTGGTTAAAGTCCGATTTCGCCCATTTTCAATACCAACCTACCTTGGATTAAGGGAAACCTACATACCAAATTTCGTTGAGATATCTCAATTTTTGCTCGAGTTATCGTGTACACGGACAGACGGACAGACGGACAGACGGACAGACGGACAGACGGACAGACGGACAGACGGACGGACAGACAGACATGGCTTAATCGATTTCTTTTTTCATCCTGATCATTTATGTATACATTTGTCTATATCTATCTCGATTCGTTTTGGCTGTTACAAACAACCGTTATGTGAACAAAATTAATATACCCTTGTGCACAAGTGCGCTCGGGTATAAAAATCAGTAATATTTACTGTGTGTATTTAAACTTTTGTTTTTAAATTCTTAGTAAACATTCAATTGAAATTTTTGCAACTTCTAATATTTTTGTTTTAGAAAATAATTTCCAATTCTTAAACAAAAAATTATAAGATCTTAATAATTTTTAAATGAGCAATAAATTTTTACTGGTTATTACCCACTTCCGAATGATATTAAAACCAAACTATATTTTTATTTAAAAGTTTTCTTTTAAATAAGCTAACAAATTTTGTATTTAAAAAATATATAAATTTATGTTTTTTATACGATAAAATATATTAAAATAAGTGTTTTGGAGCAATTTCAGTAAAAGCTAAAATAATTTTATAAAAAATGATGATTTTTTCGAGTTTTCAGTTAATATGTAATAGCACTCATGGAACTAAACAGTTATTTAATTTATTTAATTATTTGAAATTTAAAAATTTAGTAGATTCTACACTCAAACCAAATTTTCTGTGAAAATAAATTTCAGCTGCGAAAAAAATTTTAAAGCTATAAAACACAGTCTCCCACATTAAAATCAAAAAACTACTCTGTAAATTTAACAATTTACATAAAATGCTCACTAAATATTAAATAAAATAAAATTAAATTTAAGAAAATTACATGAAATAAAATTTGAGGGTTAAAATAAATTTTTTCTATTAATGTTAATCTTCATGGAACATTTAGATTTGTGTGGGTGTCAATTAAGAAATATTACCAGCACAAGTAAAGCAAACAGGACTTTTAAAGTTCTTCATTCCTATTTTTCAGTTTGAAAAAAATTTTAAATTTCAAAAAGAACGCCACGCAAAACAAGTTAATTAAATGTTTTTTTTAACTACAACGCATTTTCTCTCCATCTCCCTGTTTTTCAGTTCGTCGTCGCCGTAGTCATGTTGGCTCTTGCCGTTGGCGTGCACTCATCTCTGTTGACAGCCCATATCGCACCAGCCGTGTCGTATGTCACCTCATCACTGCACCCAGGCCCCCTACTCGCGCACGGTGCCTACGGTGGACTTGGAGGACTCGGCCCATGGGGCGCACCAGCAGCAGTTAGCGCATGGGGTGTTCCCGGTCTGTTCCCGCTCAGTCAGGGTCCACATGGTGCTGGTATTGCTGCTCCGCTCGCTTTGGGACGTTTGGGACATGGTGCTGGTGTGTACGTGGCGAAAACACGCGGTGCTGTGCATACTGCCCCCTTGCCCGGTCACACCACCTCAGCGACTTCTCTGAATATATCCCCAGCTCCTGGCACGCACTAAGCAACTCAATCGACATCTTGTTACCCCCATTCGTCCAGTATCACAGCGATTTCGCACACAAACGAGGAAATACATATTCACTTAACTACACACAAACACATTATACATGAAACAAATGCAACAACAACAATTCGACGACAACAATTCGACGACAACGATGCCAAACTAAGGATGCAACTGTATATATAGCATTATATGTATATGTTTTTATTTTTCATTAATATTGATAATCCGTTTCCGTTTCCGTAATTCGTTATCCGCAACCGCAACCCGCAAACTGATCAATGAAATGTTTATATTTCGCTTTATTATTTAATAATATACTATGTACAATATGTTGTACAAACATACTTACAAATGTATTTCATGCTATTTACTTAGCTATTCATACTTATCTACTTACATACTTACTTGTTTTGTGTTTTAAGCGTGTTCGGGCAAATATGTTAGCCAGAAATGCTTGACCATACACCACAAAATGAAGTGAAGCGAATGGAATTCTGCGGTACTCATCGCATTTAGAATAGAAGTGCGATATGCCATTTTCAATTAAGTGACATAACAAGTCGACAACAACTGCTATTTAGAACAACAGCAATAACAACAATAAGAACAACAGTGATACAAATACAAACAACAAGAGCATGCCAACTGGTGATTAATCGTATTTCGTACAACTTGGAGAACTTTCCACACAACTATACAACTATCTGATACTCTGTCCTTTTACTCTCTGTACATACTTCTCTACCATGCCTTTCACTTTCTTCATTTACATCTTTTCGCTGCTGTACTGTTTTTAATGCTTTCATTTAGTCAATTAACAAAAATAAAAAGTCACTTAAGATCTAACTTTCTTCCCAGCTTTCACTCTATGTTTTGATGCTCTCTTAATTCTCCTCCTCTTTCTTTACATAGAGACCACTTGTACGTATTTACGTTTATATTTTTTTTTTATACAGTTAAACGTAATTTTGTAAGATATTCAATGCAATTCTTTGAATTTATTGAATATTTTTGATTTGAATAAATATATTGCAAGATTTTTATAAAGTCAAGACACGATTTTGTTTTGTTTTAAGACTGGATAAGCGTGTTAGGAAGGCCTCCGTGGCTCTCTATGCAGGCAAGATGTTAGGCAATAATTTGGGTTTAAAAACAGGACTCGTACCTACACTGAATGTAAAAAGTGGCTATAGTCCGATCTACACTTTCTTAGCTGGCGCTGCACACTGTGATATTTAGTCAATCTAGGACGCCAAAATGAAAAAAAGTACTTTAAATCGATTACATTTTGTAATTTGTTAGAAAAGATGCCAAATGTTACGAAAATAAGCATAAAGGAAATGTCATTAGTATGATAACAGCTATCAAACGCGAGCTATTGAACAGCATGCAAAAACAAATTTGCAACCTTGCATCGATGACAAAACTTCGAGTGATCAAATTGAAGTTGTGCGCATTTTTTTTGCCAAGAATTTTTTTTGTAGCTTTCACTAAAAATTTTTGCTATACACGACCATTATATTTGCAGTTAAATATTTTAAACAAATTATTTTATAATCAGCTAAAAGGTACGACAAATTTCAAAAAACCGGCTTCTTTTTTTCGCAGCAGCTTCCTGACACTCCTCACTATACCAGTTGTTCTTTCGGGCTCGCTGAAATCCAACTACTTCTTCTGAGGCGGTACTCAATGAGCGGGAAATGTGGTTCCACTGATCGCATATATCGGTTTGGTGAAGAGTACTCTCTGAGAGTAGGTGTGAGAGTCGAGTAGAGAATGCATTGGCTGTCTGTTGTGCAGAAATACGACATTAAACTTTCCTGGCATTTTTGGTCGCAAGTGGTGCGAGTGGATTTTTGGCCCCCGGAGTGCACGCACGTCTAAAACACTGGAAGCATGCCGTCCGTCTATCCCAACATGACCGATTTGATTCCTCGTTTTTCAATCTGAAGACATCCGGATATTTTTATGATAGAACTTAGTACTGCATACTACAATGTTTCGGGCCACGGGGAAAAGGTCAGCCTCAGTCTGTTATCGAACGATTCATCGTCCTTGCCCACCATGACATTAAAATCGCCTAACGTCTCATCCGAGGCTTTGTTCTTCTTTTTCATTGGAAGTGGTTTTAGCGTGGCTGGTGCCAAACCCAGCGCATAACCCATTGCTGGTGCGGGGGTGAATTCGCGAGCCACTTGCTCCAAGTCAGACAGCCGCTTTCAGCCACACCTACTGGTGAACAGACGCCGCAGACTTCAGTGAGCCCTTAAATCGAATAAGTCGGAGTGGCCCCACCGAAGCTCCCTCTCTTTCTGCCGAGATCCAAGGCTCCACTCGAATTGGTTACCGCATCTCGCTGATGGGTTGCTCACATTACCCAGAGTGTGCTAACGAGGACGCAAAAGTCGGGATTGAGTGTAGCCGTACAACTGTAACTGCATACCTAGCACAACGCCTATACCCCAGTCCACTCCATAGTTTTACGTTAACAAAAACGTATGTAGATTTTTTAGTTATCAAAATGTTATGTATTTTTTTTTTAAAGCTCAAAAACTTGTGGCCATTTTTTAGTTGCCAAAAAAGTTATGTTTAATTTTTAGACTCTAAAGCACTTGCATCCAAGTTTTTTATTGCCAGTTTTTACAATACTAAAACTGATCATAAGGTTTTGTAGTGTAACAGTAGGTTTGTGGCACGGTCGAGTGGCCCCTCGGCATGCTGGTGGTTCCTGGCAGAGCTCATCGGTTGGGGTGGGTCCTTGCACACTCGCCTTGCCTACGCTACACTAACAAATAAAGTTCATGCCGAATAATTTATAAAGAAATACGCAAAAAAAAGATAAAAAAAACTCGATGAGAAAAAGATAGCAGAAAGCGCAAGGTCCAGTCCTGTCAGGCGGAGTCTACCCACCCTCTTCGGCGTCCAGTCGACGCGAAACCATGGGCGTTGTGTTGACTCCTCTGACCTTACAACGCCCCCTTATCCTGACTAAGTCCGTTGGTCAGTCATCCCGTCCTCCTATGTCAATCAGTCCTATTGTCCGTCATTACCCCATGTCCCCTGCTGCGCGCGAGCGCAACACACACACACCAAAATTAATCAATTAGAGCCTCATTTCCATCATAACACTCTCATCCGAACTTCATATTTTTCTTCCTTTATTAACAATTCAGTCTTAGATACAAAGCCCTGAGCTCAACTTAAATTAAACTACCCTCGTATCACTAAAATTTTCTTTCCTGAGAATAACGTACAAATATCCAATTGCTATTTATATATGTACACAAGTATCCATTCATGAGCATATGTACATACTTAGACAGGTATTATTAACAATATAAATCAACTAATTCAAAAAAATAAAAAAAATAAACGAAGGCCCCCAAAAGGGAACATGCAAGAAAAGCAAATATTACTTACTTAATCGAACCCTAAACTTATCCCTGCATAAAAAAACAACAACAATCTTGCTAAAACTGGTTTTCTACTCGCAACTCTTTCATTAAATTGTAATTTTCGCTCATCTATATATATATGTATATAAATATATATATATATATACTTATATATACGATAAAATGTTCACTTGAGTATGTACATACGTATGTATAACTGCTCAAACCATAAGCATGTATCGAAATATGCATGAGTAAAAATAAAATTAAAACAAGTACTCACTCACTTTGTCCGCTCCTTCGATGGTGGTACCAGCATCCCGGAGAAGAGCCTCTGTGGGGGCGGGGGGGAAGAAAGCCTTACATACGTATATTCTTAAGTTCTCTTATACATAAAAGTACTAGCCTATCGTGTCGGTACTAGGAATAGTATCGCTAGTACGGCGGATCACCCGATAGTAATCGCGGAAAGTTATTAAATGTGCAAAAAAAGGTGTTTAAAAGTGAAATAAATTTTTTTTTTGTTTTTATAAGCGCAAAGAAACCAAAGTGAGCTTAAAATTACGTGATTCGGTATAAAGAAAGTAAAGTCAAATCATGAATTCAAAATTCACCCTTTTTTTTGAAAACCATAAAAAGTTATTACACGTGGGTAAAGGAAACCACAAAAAGAAAATCAAGTAAATGCAGAAAACGTGAACTAAAGCTTATAATGGTTTCTTTGCCCTTTTTGAATTAAAGAAAAACGAAACTTGATTTTAGTTATTCAAACCGATCAAATAGAAGTTACAAAAAAAAAAAATATATATATATATATATGCCAATACTTTTTATAAAACAAATTCAAAGCAAATCAAATCAATAAAGAAAATTGATAATTGGCCGATCAAAACTAATAAATTCCAGTAAAAAAAAGACGTGATAAACAGTATGAAAAAAGAGAAATGTGATAAACTGAGTAAACTGAAACCCCATACAAAAAAACTCAAAAAAAGGAATAAAGGAAAATGGACGGAAGAAACTAGGTAAGTACTACAAAACTAACTCTTCTCTTGATAATATTGCTATTTAAAAAAAAAAAAACTATATACTTCAAAGCTTATATGTACTTTGAAAACTCTCTTAATACCTAAACTAAATGCTTCATGTAAAAACTCAATAAAACTTCTACTGAGCAAAATTCCGAATGAATCCAATAAAATTACTCAATAAAACTCCAACTGAGCAACATTTCTACAGAATAAAAACTCAATAAAACTAGAGTGATTTTTTTTTCCTTCATCCACTGCTGGTAGGGCTCTGGTTACTTCAATCCTCTCCTGTGCACTTGTGTAGGTTCTGCTCACTCTAGAGCGGGTGGTCAGCGTCTTACATCGATCCTGGCTTAGACACCAAAATCCGATTTTGCTGCTGGTGGCCTATGGATGTGGGTATCTCTCACCAACGTATCTGCGACTTTCCGTCCAGTAGTAGTGGTATATGAGTGATGCTTCTCGTGCCAAAATTTGGTGGGTGGGTGTCACAGATGCTCCTGTGCAGACAGATGTTGCTGTCAATTTTATAGCAGCGACGTCTTTGTTTCTTCCTCCGTGGGGGTCACAAAAACTCCTCCAGGTATTGGCTCGACTGCAGGAAAAGGTAGGTGGAGGTCCTTTTGCAATTCCTCGGCGGGCGACCTAAAAAAACAACAAAACACACACATTTTAATAGTTATGCGGATTTTGGCGGTGCCGTGCTTGTGTACACGCACATATATTCACTCAAATCTTCTGTGCGTGCACGTACATAAGCATTTAGGTATGTCAAATTATTTCTTATGGGGGCACTAGTAACACAAAACACTTGATTTGTTCACCTTTAATATGAATCTTTAGAACTTACCTCCTATTCCAGTTAGCCAAATTCGACGATAACAACAAATTTACTTCACCGGATGGTAGGCGATATATGTATGTACGGGACCGCTAGATGTACGCGTTATGGACCGTTTTATTTTATATAATTTGTTTTTTTACAAACTTTTTTTTCAAAAAACTGCACTTTCACTTGGCACCTTCAAATAACATGTCACCACTATAATGAATCCGTTGGCCATCTTTAAGGCCTTTTATACGGGTGTCTAGGTCAACAAATTTCACTTAGGCGAACCGCAATTCGGCTCAACGGTCCCACGACCAGATACCGCATTCACACTCACACACTCACGCCGCTTCACCGATGCATTTGTTGCTAGTGCTACATGTCCCAAACTTGCCCGCTACACATGTTGCTGGCTACATGATACAAACTTGTCCACAACATATGTTGCCGGCACTTCTGTGGCATTATGGCTACCATGTTTGCACTAACACATGCTCACACTCACACTTCCGCTCAAGTAAAGGCGAGCGTTATAGAAAAAACAAATAAATCCAGCTGTTACGATACCAACAATTTGTGTAGGTATTTTTGTAAAAAGTATGTCTAATTTTTAAACGCTCAAAACCGTTAACTCAGTGTTTTTATATTAGCAAACAATTATATCCAACTTTTTCGTTACCAGTAGTAGTTTATCTAATTTTTTATACCTTTCATGAGCATGAAATGGTATTATAACTTTGGTCCGATGTTTGTAAGTACCAGAACAAAAAGAGATAGACCCATTAAAATGTATACTT